ATATGTTCTGTGTGACTGTGACACTGTGTGTGTCTATCCTTTTCAATATATAGGTACCTACGTATGCACTATATGCACCTAACCCTCACAATAATATGAAATATAATGGATATACACGCGTATTTGTGTATAGCCGCCTTCGCAAGCCATCTACCTCCACCTTAACATTGAGATTTATACAATTTACATCACCGTTTCGAATTTTTGATACTAACACGTCTTGATAGAAATTATACTTTATAAACAAAACTCTTTGAAAAATATTTACGCATATTTTAAATAATGCAATAATGTAATACACCTAATATTATATTGTTGATTTTATTTATATTATTAACACAACAATATACCTAATTATTATATTTAATAAAAAAACGGGTGTTGAAATAAAATGTTTAGCTCACGTAGTCGTGTGATAAACAATTCAAAACAAAAATTGTATATAAACACATTTTTTTTTGTCATGTTTTTAAAAATAGGTCAAAAATTAATAAATGACCCGTTTAAAAAATACACTTAAACTTCGAAAACCACCAAAAATGCTCTAAAAAAAATACCTACACAGTTAGAATACCATGTAGGTACGACGTTTTAGATTGAAAAGCACAGTGCATGTAGTCCATAGAGTAAGAATAGATGTAGTCGGACATCCCAAAAAAAAAAAAAAAATAATAATAATTATATTCAAATGCATCGAAATCCGAGCTTGGGCTGATTGGTCATAAGAATATTGTGGTGTGTGGCACTCTGTGCACTGGGTGTATACTGTATAATATACGGTAAATAATGACTTTTCAAAAAAAAATATAAAATATTATTTGAAAGAAAGTTACCGACGGATACAGAAGCGCTGCCGAGACACCGTGCTGCAGTACTATAATATGTCCGATACATTATTAAAATATTTCACAGCATTGTGCAGTACTGTATTATAGTGCACAGATGTAGGCGTTGCAGTAGTCTGTGCTTGTCAAAAACCAACCGCCCGCCCATTACATATTATTATATACTCGCCGCGGGTGTGCAGTAGTAGTTGTACACGACACACGTGACAATGATTATTGACAATGATGGTCACCACTGCTGCTGCAGGTATGGCCCTCTCCCTTGGCCGGCGATTTTCTGTAGCCTTCGGCATTCGCAACATCGACGCCGCCGTTGTATAATAATACAAATTGCGTACACAATTTGTATTGTCTACCATCTATCATAATATTATTAATATATCTGTGTGCGGGGAATAACGCGTGCTCGTATCTAACGAGCTGTCGGGGTGTGGTATTACATTATTGTGTAAATAATTGATGGCGAATATGAATCGAATGTATTGGTATTGTAGGATGACGTACCTGTAGTAACCTATTTGGCTATACAGGACGTCGTCGAACACTGTTTGATTTTGAATTTATATATTATTATACTAGCTGATCCCGTGCACTTCGTCGCCCGTTAAATGTATCAACTCAATATGACTCAAACTTTGTTAAATTCGTTATTCAATATTCGGTGTATGGTGTTCAAAATTTATCTTATCTTTTTCGTTGCCCGGAATAAAATTTCTGAATCGCAGCAGTACTAATGTACTCTCCTGCGGTAGATCGCGGACCCCGTGCTGTTTGTACGGAAGTGTGTGATTTAACTCTCAAGTATCAAAGTTATACCAAGTTTTTCGTTTTTACTCAATTCCGCCTACTGTTGATTAAAATAATCAATTTATTTAATCCTATTAAATATAATTTATATTTAAAAATAAAATAAAATCATTTTTTTTTTCAATCATTGTTATTATTTATATAACCATGGCAACCATTTACAAACAACAATTTCCATCTGAAATCTCAAAATTCCCGTTTGAGCACCTCCCGGGGTTGGTCTTCTCCCTTTTTAAATTAGCCTATGTTTTAAGTTGGATCAAAATACACACAGTGTAACAATTTCAACAAGATCGGTCCAGTTGTTTTCACGTGAAAGAGTAACAAAGTCACAACCTTTCGCGTTTATAATATTAATTATTGACTAACATTATCGGACTTTATTTATGCCTAAAACCTGCTCCGTGATATCCTCTTTCATTAAAAAAAAACTGCATGACAATTGGATAAGAAGCCAAACCGTAACAAAGATTTCCTCTTTTGCTTGCGATTTCAGTTTTAGGTATATATATAGATTATGTAACACATCACTATATTATTATACCTACCTGCAGTATGTATACAAAATAAAAATTTGAATTTTTCAAAAATAAAACCAACTTTAAAACCTTTTATTTATGAAGTAAAAAAAAAACTACGGAACACATTAAACTTCATCTGAATGAAATATTTAGTGTTACCCAATACCTACCTTGAAACATGATTCATGAGTCATGACCAATGATCATATTATACACTGTATAACATATCGGGTACTATATTATAGTTTATAATTTATATAAATGTGTGTTCTTGAATGCAGAACGCAGTAGACACATTAAATTTGAAATCTGGCATACATTACATACCAAGTTTAATGTTTATACTTTGTAGGACTCACACGTGACGTTTTCTCAATACCTTCTATAACTAGATAATATGTGAAAACTAAAAAGACATTTGAAAAAAAAAATACTGAAAGGAGTTTTTTTTCTTTTATACAGTTCTGCTCAGAACTTTTGTTCGTCGAATGTGATAAATGATAATACTGCCATATTACAATTTAATAATATAGTTTGGGAATGTAAATATGTAATACAAACCTTTACAGCGAGTAGAGTATAGTATTAAACTTTCTGCGGGAATAACGCTTAAACCAAACGAGTTCCAATTAAAATATTAAATAAATGTGTTACAATCAAATTTTAATTTATTGCTTATAGATTGTTAAATTTAAACTATATAGATACTGCAGTAGCAGAAGTTATTGTAGAATGACAAGCTGTTTAATCTTTATATGTAATCCACTAATCCATAATATTAATATATAGTATATACAAATATACATGTAAATATTATACGAATTGCGGACTACATCCTTTTATCTGTTATTCAGCTATTCGTCGGGAGATTACGTTCAATGATCCATTAGATTGTGATAGTAAATTATTTATAGTGGTATACTGGTATTATGATTGTATACTATTAATTGTATTTAGTGTTTTACAGTATCCAATAACGGCTTAAACTCCTGTCAAAACGTCATTGTTAATAATAATATAATTGATGCGTTTTCGTTATGACAAGCCCCAATAGTAATAATTTAATAGGTACTATATTATAGATCAGTAGACAGTAAGGTCAGTATACCACATCAAATAACATTTATTTAAGAGGATGCCACGTACGACACACGCATGTGTGACATAGCAAATTTAAGCTTATGGAAGATCACGTCTTACTGTCTTAGCTCCGTTGGTTAAAAAATTAGAGCGAATCGACCTATTAAGAAACTTGATGGTAAGGTTATAAGAACATTATCTGTTTTGGTTTTCTACGATTTTTTAGTTTTTAAATGAGTTATAAACATTTTTAATTTGCGCTATATTATGTAAGCATAACTTTCTAAAAAATCGATCTATCGTAAAAAAATAAAATACGAACACAAATAATGTATTTACCATCAAGTTTCATTATAGGTCGATTCACTCTAATTTTTAAACTAACAGCGAAACGTGATCTGCTGAGCGAAAAATTTGCTATGTTATGCACTTGTAAGATGGTGTGGCGTCCTCTTAAAAGGATACCATACCACCAATAAACATATTGTGTTGTCTCCTTCTTAAAAACGTACAATAATTGTACAACATTCCAAATTTTACTTTGTTTTTTTTTTAAATCAGAGTGAATCGGTTATAAAATATGAAGTTAAGATTATTATCTTAATCATTTCGGCGGGGCCTTTAATTGATGTATTTTTTTTTTTTTTATAGTTTTTGAAGCATCGGCAGAAATGGACATAAGCTTTTTGTGTGTGGCACATTTTTGCTTTTGAGGGGTTACGGTTTGTTTGTGGGGGGTTTCAGCTTTCAGCTGAATTTGAGCAACACGTGAGTACCTATGTGGGGTGAGAATTCGCCGCTATAAACCCAATGCCAAACTCAATCTATGCACCATTTAGATATTAATGAATTTACATTTTAAGTTTCGTGAAGCTTGGTTCAGTAGTTTCAGAGGAGATACTGATATAGCAATAATAAATTGTATCAAGCTGGGGGATAGTAGGGAAGCGCTACGCTCCGGCCAATGAAGGCTGTCTTGGAGGGGGAATTTGGGTTTTAAATTTGAAACATTGATTAAGTTGAAATAGCTTAAAACAATGAAAAAAGTTAGTCCATAATAGTAAACAATTTCATCATAGAAGTCATTCAAAGTTTACATTCTAGTTACTGACTCGTATACTCACGGACTCACGGACTAAGGGCCAGTTGTAACATTATGTAACAACATATTTGGTTAAAGTGAACCGAAGTTTGATTGGCCGAATTTTCCCGGTTAAATAATCTGTTATCAGCTGATTAAGAGTAATCGAAGTGTAACCGTAGACGGTACAACTGGCCCTAACTCACTCATCATCAAAATTATAACACACTTCCCGTATAGGTAGAAACGTGAAATTAGGAACAAAGATTTGTTATTATGTAAAGGCAAAAATATGCAAACTGCAATTTTTTTAAGTTAGTGGTACTTATTAATGAGGGGAGTTCCAAAGCCAAACGCATGATTGCATGAAACAATAGTACAAATAATAATAATAATTTACCATACCAATCATTAATCAATATTTTTTGTATAATACTAGCTGACTATTAGACTATTACACAGCTCTGCCCGGATTTGCCATGATTTTAATTTGTCTGCTCAGACAAGGTATATAATAACAAAAGAAGAAAGTATTATGTCAGGAGCACAAACATATTTATTATTGTAATTTTTTTTTACATACCTTTATTATACATATTATATGATACAAGATGATTAAGTTAAAATAAATTAATACATTACTGATATAGGTAACTATATAACACATCAATCAGATTTTACTTTAGAGAATGATGAATATATCTTTGTGTAAAATGTACGAATAAACTTAAATAATTTGAAAACAATTAGTACAGAAATGAAAATAAACATAAGAATTACAGTGATTATATCTATTAAAAAGTATTGGTACCACGTTAAATTAAGAGCTTGAGATTTTAGTTGTGGTGCTCCTTTGTGGCGAATAACATACTCTGTCCAGTAAACAACAGACTTTTCCGGTGACATTGGTCGGTCTTTAAATATCTCTGATGTAATTTTGGCATTTTTAGTGTAACTAAAATAAATGCATAGCATTAGAATTATCAATAAATGTAAGTCATCAAAAAATATTTACTTTTCGTTGTTTACAAGATCCAATACATTTTTCAAAAAATTATCTTTAGTAACCGAAAATATTTCCATACGTATAGCCATGCCTGCATCAACTAAATTATCTATGTTTCTATGCTGATCACCGAATAATGGAAATCCTAAGACTGGAACTCCAGCGTCTACTGCTTCATACAATCCCGATATTCCACCATGACTGATGAATAGCTTAACATTTTTGTGCGCTGTAAATCATTAAAAAAATATTAATTAACTATTAGTTTAAGTATTGACATTTGTTTTATTAGAAAATCTTACCCAGAATATCTCTTTGAGGTAACCATTTTCTTGTCATGACATTTTTAGGTTTATCTTCCATTTCCTCTTCATATTTAAGTAAAACTTTCTGAGGAAGTTCAGCAATTGCTTTTTTAAATGCAGTTAGAATATTTTTTGGAAGTGAAGTCATTGAAGTGGTTGAACCAAATGTGAATAAAATGACTCCATGTGGTGCGTCTTCAATAAAGTCTAATATATCCTACAACCAATAGTTTCCATTATTAATGAATGTGATTTATTTTATTTTTAAAATAGTTAAATGTCGTATTTATGTAAGTACTAAGTAAAATATTAAATTTGTTACAATTTAAAAAAAATATTTTCTTATTTCATATTCTGAAGAACTTAATTTTAAGCCTTAATATAATAATAGTTGAATGTTAAATTGGATGTTCTATTCTGATGGTCTGTAACAATTAGCAAATGATTTACTAAAAATATTGTGTAAATTTCAAGTATCTAAGGTTATTCGTTTTTGAATTATAGCAAATAAGAAAACCGCTACATGAGAAATCGAGTGAATATCCAATGTTGTAACAATTTAACTTCAAACGCTCATAAAAATTTAATTTGACTTTCCTGACTCCTGTAGAACTTTTTTTTTTTTGATAAAGGTTGAAAATCTTATGAGAAATGTTGTATTAAATTTTAAAATATTAGATTTAAAAAGAAAATTGTTTATGGTTATGAATTTCTAACTCAAAATAATTTGCATATTTTAGTGAATTTTACTTATTTTGTCAAAAGTCGATTTTTAAATGCTTATTAAAAAAAAACTGTGACTTTGTATTTTTAATATTTTTCAATTGCATTTGTAACAAAATATTAGGAGTCTTATCTCACCTAACCTAACCTTAAGATTCAAATATTAAAAATGTTAATTTTATTTTATTGCTACTAAATATTAAAAATTAATCAAAATACCGTTTTATACTCAGGGGCGTCATTTGGGGGAGGGCAGTGTTTGCGACGGCACCACTAACATCATAGAGTATTGGCCCTCCATTAATGCTCCTATGCGCCCATATGATTACTATTAAAAATTAATAAAATATTCATGCATGTATCTAATATATATTTATTTATTTTTATCAGCTTTATCATCAAATTTATCCCTATTTGATAACCGTATGAAGAGAGTTTCATTATATAAGATATAGTTCGACCCAGTCTGCTGGTATCAACTATAGTGGTGTAAGTATAGCATACCTACATAATAATATATTAGAACCCGTAGATATCCACTAACTTAAATTTAAAAATAATTAATAATGTTTTGTTTTGTATGAATATTGAATAGTGTATGGTTTTTTAAATACATTTATTAAAAAAAATTCCTTTATAGGTACCGCATTTTCTTTTTATTTCTCCAAATAATAGTAAAATGGCTTCTGTTGGCAGCGAATTACTACTTATTTTAGTTGCTTATAAGCTTTTAATACATTGAACTGCTAAGCGTTAGCTATTTGAAAATTAAAATATACATAAGTTGATATGAGTAATTTTAATTAGGATTATAAAAGGGAAGGAGATAATATTAACATACTTTAAAAGGCATGGTTATTGTTTAAATATTAATTGTTAAAATTGGCCTGGTTAAATGTTAAAACTGGCCTGCCTAAAATCTTTCACACCCGGAAAAAAACCTGAAATGACGTCCCTGTTTATACGGTTATGCACTCATTTAAAATTGTATTGTAAATAATATTTACAAAAAAAAAAAAAAATGATCATATAAAATTATTACTTTAGGTATTTTTTTGGGTGGTTTTAAGTGAATGCCACCGACACTCACGAAGTTTGGCTGAACTGGTCTAGCCTTATCAGTAATGAAATGAGTGTTTATAAAGACCAATGACGGAGGTTTTATGGCTACTAAGTCATAAGGTTTTGGATCGGATAATTGAAGTAAGTATTCTTGAAATGTGACTACTATATTGGAGTACAGCCAAACAAGTGTATTAGTTAACCGTTGAACGAACGTCTTAGGAACAGCGGAATGCCGAATGAAATAACATTGCTGATACCGTTGCTGGATTACTGACATCGCCAGAAGTGATACGTTCTGTATAACTATTTATTGGATTCGGAATCGTGTGGATCACTGGCAAATTTGAATCTCCTGCCAGGTACGACAAACAACCCGACGCAAATCCACCTTCATAGATAATTGCATCGAAATCGGATTGCAATTTGTTTGCAATAAAATCATTTAGTTGTTCATTTTTGTGTAATATCTCGCAACTTAGTCTACTCAATTCCATCATAGATGAAATTGGCGTAAACTGATTGCTAAAGCATTCTCTCATTTCCACTATGCTCATACCAAGTTTTATTGGAAACAAACTAGACGTGTCTATTTCTGTATAGTTTTCGCGATTACCGTCAAGGAATGGTGTGAAAACTGTAACATTATGTCCATGGTTCGTCATTGCCCGAAGCACAGAGCCCAAAAAATTCCAATGACTTCTGCCAGCAAACGTCTCTATGGCTAATATTCTCGCAGCATTTCCCGGTTGAATACCCGAACAACTGATTAATGCAAAAATTATAATTGAAACTATTGACTTGTGCAACATTTTTGTTTTTACTGTTTAGTTGAATAAAATAGAGTAGATATGTGAATTATAACGGTTTGAGGCTTCAAACTAATATGCGTTCTTCATCCGTCCACGCGTTGCTTATATACCTACTAACCCAATAAATAATATTATGTAATTGTCTAAATATACATATGATGAGCTCATTAGATAACGCCACTTGATTGCAGTCTACAATAATAGGCATAGGTAATTCATCAAGCAGAAGTAACACGTCATATTAATATATTATATTTAACTACATAATATGTGTTATTGATTAAGAGTATGGTATGATAATATTAAAGAAATAGGCTATATTTTATAGTAATTTTTCCAAAACATTTGTTTTGTTTTACTTCTACATGCCACGTTTGATGTAATTTCCAATAAGATAAATTGTTCGTAGTAAACGCAACGCGATAAAAAATAATCCGTGTTCTAAAAACATAAATTGTATTTAAGTTTGGTGATTTGTAATCATTGATGTTTACGTGTAGATACCACTGGCGGCTCGTGGTATGGTGCACAGGAGAACGTGAACCACCCAAAAAATAAAAAAAAATTATAAAAAATAATAAATTAGATTCTTATGGTAACATACAATTGATTACTTTACACATGGTCTGTAATAAAAATAAAGTTTTCGGAGTTTTTCATGTTGATAAGTGTGTCTATAAACGATTAAATAATTCGCCATTCGCGGAGCAAAAATTGTTTGTACTCAGGATGGCCTTGTAAATATTAGCAAAGTACTCAACGTATATATATATAAATATGTAACTGTTATTAACTATTAATGTATTATTATTACTAGGTACAACATCGAATCTTATAATATATCGAACATCAAATAATAATTATTAGATATACTTATAAATAATTATAACTGAGGATTACCGATCGGGCCATGGTGTGTCGACGTGTCGTGGGTGCTGATATAACATGTGAGTTGAGCTGGCCGTCCACAGATCCTCTTCAGGTCGTTGTCAGCCCTCGAATTCCACTGTCGACCATCCACTATGACTATTGACTCTTAACTTGTGACTCTAGACTCCTTTCCTCGACTATAGTCGACTATACATCGACCGTCATTTCTGACCCTATCTATTTTCCGCCAGGAGTCCCGGTCGGTTATTAACACGATGTGAGCTAAACATCGCGTCAGCATAATATATATTTCATACATATATACACATTTTCCATTACTAACACTCAGCATATTAGCCGTGCTAAACGTAGGGAGTAATGTACGATGTCGATGACGACATGTTCGTTACATGTACCCCTTGTCCATTTAAATCTGGACCCCAGATTTGGGAAGTCAAGCAACTGTACCTAGCTGTGTTAGTGGTAGTGTTGTATTTTTTTTTTAATTTAATGTTCATTGTTCATCCAGTAGCAAGGAATAACGGTACACCATAACTCGTTACAAATGTTTGGTAAATTATTATGGTTTTATAATGATTATTAAAGCATGAATGTTGAAAAGCTTAGTTTTTGGTTGCATTATTTTACTTTTGATATTCATATGATATACCAAATACAGCTCACTATAGGTACTGTCTACGAAAATGGTAAACATAAATATTAAATACATAATAACATAACATTTGCAAATATTAAGACTACGGGGGGTGTGGGGGGCAGATCCCCCACTATAAAATTCTAGTAAATTTTCAGAACCCACTTCATAGAAAATTCCTGAGAACGCCACTGTTTTGGTATGCACCTATAACAAAATTTATATATTTTTTACCATCTTACATAGGTATCTTCTAAATTTCTTGTGAACCACCTTAGGTGAACCTCAAGAGCCGCCACTGGTAGGTACAGTATACTTTTAGTAGATACGTGTGCCGTGTGCGCAACTCGTTCATCAAAGTTTATTAATATAAGAAAAATAAGAGGTAGGTACCTATACAAAAATGTTTTTCTCGCAAACCTTAGATGTATAAATATATGGCCCACTGGTAATTTGAGTAATTCGAGACCACTGCTGGAACTGCCTATAAGTGGTGATGTGAATCTTATACGCTAGATTAAATACTATTACTATTAAATTTCTTCTTCCCTGTCTTCGAGTTGATCTGCCTATCCATGTATTTTCAAAATAGTCCACTATTGGTTGAAGAAAAACCTCATGTTCCTTGTAGTATTCAGTATCTAAAAGTTCCTCAAATGCTTTTTCTACGTCATTTATTGGAACAAACGCAAGTGCTGGTAGTATGCGAATCTGAATAGAAAAATTTGGGTCATTGATGTATTTTTCCTGCATTGAAGTTATAGTCTGCAGTTTTCGCCAAATACACTGACCGAGATGAAAAAAGCAACCACGGTTTTCGATTTGTGGAAATACTTCTTTAAAAGCATTAATAGAGGCGTTGGTATAATCTATCATGTTTTAATACGTGTATTGTATAGATTTGATTAAAAATAGGTGGAGCTGATTTGAAAGTACCATCAGAAAACCAGTGATCGGATTTCGACATCAAATCCAAACTACCAGATGTACAAAAAATTATAATTCGTTGGTTTGACAAACCATAGTCATCGAAACTGTCATATAAAACAAATTGTTTACCATGAGTAGTTTATAATTTATATTCAATAGGCAATTGGTGTAAATCATCAAGAATTTGAGGATTAGGTGGAGCTAAGCAATTTCTTTGTCTCGTTCTTTGAATTGTACGTTTCAACTATGCGATCTGTGGAAGTGCACAAAAAACAATTGGAACTACAGAAGATGACGACTCACTTATTATAACTGCAGGATTATCTTGAGTTTCGACGGCTTGGTTTTTAATATTTTCGACTACTACTTTTGCTTGATTTTTAATTATATCGGCAACATGATTATGATCGGAAGGGCCTTTAATAATTTCTTCGTATTTTAAATTCAAACGCCCTGTACATAGTTTGTCTATACATCGCCAATATTCGACATCTTTATGAATTTTTTCTTTCCGATATAAGTCACTACTTAACTGTAGGAAAAGTTTTCCTTGTTGTGACTTAATATACTGCATTATTATACGTTAAAGACCACATTAATATAAGAACTCCGGCGGACGACTAAAATGACAAACTCAACATAAGTACGACGACAGTGACTCAGATAAGACAAATTATCATAAACGTAATCTTATCGAATCGTTATCGCGGACTTTTCGAATATATTAAAAATATATTAAAATATATTTAATCAATGTTAGTACACAGTATTTAAAGCGAAAATGATTATACAGTAGACGCCGCTTATAAGACTCACTTTGGGACCAGCACAAAGTGAGTCTTATAACCGAATGAATCTTATAGACGAAGTGGAAAATAAATAATTAATTACGTATTTATAAATTGTATTTTACTTCATATTTTGCTTTGATTTTAATACTTTGTTACATATTACATATTACATACTTTATTATTGAATAAATTTAATAATCCTGATAAAAAAAAAACTAAAATTATAATAGGTAAATATTACATATAAAAATATTATAAAAATTATACATTAATAAAAAATTATAAAGGATGTATGTACATATTATAATGTATTTATTATTTATTTTTATTATACGTTTAAAGTACCACCAGAAACTAGAAATAATCAACACGAATATTATTTAATTTTTCAATACCAATTTATTTCTAAATTATAACCAAAAAAGTTCATTTTCTACTATTTATTTTACGAAATTTGAGTCTTATAACCGACGTGTTGAGTCTTATAACCGATTTTTTTTATGGTATTTGGATACGTCCGGACCGTTCCAGACGATTTTGAGTCTAATAAGCGACTGAACCTTATATCCGTGAGTCTTATAAGCGGCGTCTACTGTATATATTTTTTCGCTCTTTTTCATTCGCTCATTTACGTTCGCTCTTTTTCTTTCGCTCAATTGTCGGGATACCGGCTGACTTCAACATCAATTATCCTAATGTAGACAAGTTAGCTATCTAGTATTTTATGTCTGTGGTCTTACCCCTGGTTATGGCCAAATCGGGTGACTGTGGCATTGAAAACGGTCTCCGTGGGGCGTGTTTTACGTTATCAATTAAATATTTCATATCAATATTATAAATTATTTGAAAATGTCAAATAATAATATTATAATATTTATTTCATATTTCATAGCAAAATGTGACAATACTGAAAATACCATGCATAAAAAACTTTGAAAAAATTTTAACGGTCGTCGTCCGTGGTCAATGGATTGTTTCCGTTTTTTATAATAGTGTAACAAATAGGGATACATGTTACCAACGATTTGCCTAAAAAATAATCCTATAATAAGAATGATTTGTAAGTATAAATATAATAAAGAATAAATTTGTAATACGATGTCAATAATACATAAATAAAAAATACTCACCATAAATGTGTAATACAATACAATTATTTGACAAATTCAGTTTCAATAATATAATAATTTGGTAATAAAGTTTAAATTTTTTGTAATACAATGTCAATAATATTAATAGGTATCTATTTTACAATCGTTTTCTTTTAAATAAATATAATAATTTCAATTTAAATAATTTCATTTTGAGAGGAAAGATGACTATGTTCATGATCAATTTGTATTATTTGGGTTATTTTTTCGGGGTCTAAATTTCCGGGGTTATTTTTTTGCGGTACTGTTACCAACATCTTATCAGATTACGGATATGGTACAATTTTTTTGAGTCTAATACTTCATACCCCAGGGATACACAAGCCCAACCAGCGGATCGAGTATCCATTCTATATTGTTCCGTGCCATAACACACAGTGCAAGGTGTATTTATAATTAGGTGTATTTATAAATACACCTTGACACAGTGTCTAACCCCTGATATTAAACATGATAAAATAAATATATTTTGTGATGATAATAATATTATATAATAATATCCATTATTAAATGTATAATTTATTATTGAATAATATAATATTCTTAAAGTCGATTGGAAATAATTATAATTATAGTATATACCTCCTTTTTGTTTACAACTGTTAGGCGAGGCTGAGCCTCACTTGCCTCACCTGAGCCTCACTTTCCTCACCTGAAGAGCCACCACTGAAATACAGGCTGTGACAGGAAGACCTGATAAAAAAAAAAAAAATATTTGGCTAACGTATGACAAAAATTGTGAAAGTCTAGAGTCTAGACTATAACTGATAGAACTGATTTTTAAAATTGTTGGTTAAGGAATTATAATACAATATATACAACATACCTAATATGCTTATAATATTATTATTTTTATAAACTTATGGTTCGACTATGAACTTATTGTAGAATTGTACCAACCAATAGCAGTGGTTTTTAAACTGTTTCGTATTTAAAAATAAATGTAAATACATTTATTAGTAATTATAATACATGATACTATGATAGTGCCACATCACTATCGAAATCACGATTGTTAAACTATCGAAATAAAATAGTGGCCGAGAGCAGTGGCGTAACTGAGAATGTTTGATGGGGGGATCAAAATAAATTTGTAGGGTAAACTTGTGGGGGCCTTTGCCCCCACGGCCCACACCCCCTTATCTATATTTTGTATAATTTAATAACTCAACACATCTAAATATAATCATTCTATATTACATAACATTATACATTTACAAATATGTTTTAATATTTTAATAAACTCATTTAAATGTTTTATAATAATTAATATGACATAACTAATAGTTATTGAATAAACTGCAGTGACTGCAATTATATTTTTAATATGTACTTTTTTTAACTGGTGTTAATTTAATTTTGCATAATTTTAGCGCGAGTTGTAATGCTAATTTTTATAATAAGTTGAATACGTCATACATAATATTTAAACATTTAATTCCGGGTCTAATAATGTTTAGTATTTTAAATTGTAATACTTACGTCAGGCCCAGGCTTCTTTTTAAAAAAATTCAATAAAGTACTGCTAGTTGCTGGTAATTTTCTTTTTTTTTCTCCATTTTGCTTTTAGCTTATAAAAATGTAACTGACGTCTGACACAGTGACACTGTGAATATGAGAGAATGACACGGTGTGTGGTGTGTCGGTGTGTATACCTACTGTGTAGTGTTTACTGTTTATACGTAATCGCAATAATCAATGTAGATACTTTGTGTCGGCGCGCGTTCTTAGTACCTAGTATCTATGGCTATTATTCGTTCTACGAAATGTAAATCTTAGTTACATTTTTATTATTATATTATGTTTATGGAATGATGGTTTTTCAAATTATCGGATTACTTACCATCTATAATCTATTCAAAATTAGGTATAGTGTGTGGCAAGGCACCCAATGTTTATTAAAAATAAATAAGAATTAAAATGAATCAGACCATTTATTTTGAAATCATGCTTATCGTTAACGGGTAAATATTTATATACGGGTACACAACTTCTAAACTTTTTTTTTTTTTAGTTTCGTAATAATTTATAAGTTTTTATTTGAACTATTTGTAGGTATAAGACAATATATAAATACAGCTCATGGGGGGGATCTATCCCCCATATCCCCCCCGTAATTACGCCCCTGGCCGAGAGTGGAACCAATCAGATTAGTTTATAGTCTAAGGCCGTGTAAAATAATATGATAAAAATATATTTTAAATTTGCCGCAAAAAATTACTTGTATTTCATTGGTTCCACCTAATGCTGGCTAAAAGCATTTGATAGGGACGGCGATAAAAAATAACAATCGTGATTTCGATAGTGGTACTACCATCTATTATAATTACCTTGTATCTGGCCAGTCCGCCCCTGTGCATCGTATAAGTGATCATGATTCGTTGTCTGGAAAATAGGTTTATTTCTAACGTTTACGTCATATTTCCTTATTGTTATAAATAATTAAAGTCGTTCTTCAAATATGGAGATAATCATAATTATACACAGATATTTGCAATTAACGCGCTAACCACTTACGCATAATTCGCCTTGGTTTTTTTTAATTGAATTGAAACTTCTTTATGGAGGGTACAATTTCGACAAATTGTGTGACGAAATAGCTTCATGCGACTATTTTCAATCACTTCTTCTTCTTCTTCGGGTGTAACGGCCACTAGGACCATCCCGTCAAACATCCCTCCCTCCAGCCGTCTCTGTCAGATGCTCGTTCTTTCCAATCTGATCCTCCACCTAAGGTACTTACATCTTTTTTAACCAGATCTTCCCATCTCATACGAGGTCTTCCCAGCTGGATCTTTCTCTAACACTATACGTAGCAAGGGGTTCTGACTACGCCAAGCATGACCATTGACCAGACCACTTTAGTCTTCTACTCCTTATTGTGTCTAGTATATTTGGCTTCTGGAAAAGTAGTCCTAGTTCATTATTCGTTCTTATCCTCCACTCATTGCTACTGCTATCTTTCATCGGACCATACATCTTCCTTAGAACTTTTCTTTCCCATACTATCAGCTTTCTTTCATCATCTTTCCGTAGTGGCCATGTTTCCGCTCCGTAAGTTACGATATAGCCGGCTCGATTCCGATCTAGGAACATAATTTTCAAATAATGTTACTTGCACACAGTATAAACTATAAAGTCTACGAATCACGAGAAAAAAATTATCTGAGAAAATTTAAATTTTGACAGTGACGCAGCAAAAAAAGCAATGAGTATTCAGTTTTACAACGTATTTTTTATTTGTATAGTTAAAAACTCTTTACATAATATTAAAATTAAGAATTTATCGAGTTTTATAATATAAAATACCGATCGATTGAAAGTTAAAACTGATGTTATAATAATTTTCTAAGTTAAAATGTTAAACATTTATTTTTTTTTTTAGACAGTCGATAATATTATAGTATATAGGTAGGTTAGGTTAATCGAGTTTAGAGTGTCATAGTAATTTTTTTTAGTTTTAATACTATGATGGCACGTTTTAAATTTTCAACTGTGAAGTTTAATCAATCTTTGTGATAATTATTCTGCTTAGATATTGTGTTTGAATTTATAATAATACTAGCTGCCCTTGTGCCTCGATTCCGGGAGTTGTGGAAGCTGCCTCCGGCGCCTTCGAGGTGGTTGAGTGA